CGCCGGGCGGTGCGGGCGTGACGCAGGCGGGCTTGTGCGCGAGGCCTGTCTCGAGCCCGGCCGTTGAGTGCGGTTAAACGGTCGAGGATAAGCCGCTGCTGTGCCCTGGCCGTGAGGGGCTGGCGGCTTCGGAGAGGCGGGAAAGCGAGAAGGGTCGCGGTACACCTGATTTACCTGTGTAGAGTGTGTGTTTTTCTGCTCTTGGAGAATATACGAGAGGAGCCAGTTCCGCAAACGTCTCGGCAGGGGGGGTTGGTCCAAATTCTCTGTGGTACAACCTTACGTTGTTCGTTCAGTAGGCTCACACGCGGCACTTTGTTTCCTCAGGAAGAGTGTATTGCGGCTAGAGGGAACACACAAAAACTGGAAGCTAGGGGATAGGCTGTACTCGAGGGGCGAAAGGTGAGGCTGCTGAGAGGTTGGGCTTCAAGTGTATCTTCTGGGTGAGTGCTCACCCAAGGCGAGGTCTGGATAGCGGGAGAGGAGATGATTGGAGGGTAATTTGGAAGGAGAAAAGTGACTCGAGTGGGAACACATCTGTCTGAGAATAGAAATTGGCCAAAATTCAAACATCAAGTTAGAAGTTTATTCTCATGTGAAATACTGGAATAGTCCATAGAATGCTCTGGTATGTGCCATGTTTTTCTTATGCCGTAGCAAGATCTTGACAGCTGTAGACCATGTTCCTGGGCAGTTTTATGCCCAAATGCAGCGATACATAATGCAGGATGAAGTTCTGGGTTTTTTTGTGATGTCTCTCATAAGGTGTTTGTAATGTACCTAGTATCAGATTATTCCACATTTAAGTTAAGGTTGATATTCTGCAATTAGCTTGCCATTGCAGACCTCTATCTGTAGAAGTCTTGAAAGGGTGTGAAACTACTGGCTTGCGTTAGAAGCGACAAACTGTACAGACAATTAATTTGCATGCCTCTGCTATTTCAAGACAAAGAGCAAAGAGGAATTTTGGGGGGATGTCAGATGTGAGGGATCAAGGGGAAGAAATGGATAAAGACTCAGAATCAGAAGGCACAGGGTAGATCCTTATGCAGACTTGGGGGAAAAGAGGAGTGTAAAGGAAAGGTGAAATAAGTTGAAGTTGGGAGAGGTTTGAGCAAGTCAGTTCAGTAATACATCCTAAAGTTGAGTGTTTTGTGCAGATAGGGAGATTTCTAAATGGGTTTATATTGACATGGATTCCTTGGCTTACCATTTTAAGAATGCTGTGAGAGTTCTTTTGATCTGCCGGTGTCAGTCTGATGTATGAAAGCTAATTCCTAATGTAATGTCTGTGCAGAGACATACATTGATATGCTTATTTGTAGACATTCTGACTTTCACATGCACAAATATTTAGGAAAAACAAAGCTCGTAATAAATTACCATTGTCATCTTAAGATTTTCTTTTGCGTTCCATTGGATGTATTTATATGTGTGTGTTGGAGCTGCTGAAAAATCTGCATGAAAAATTATCTCTATTTAATACAAGTATTGCTGTAAGCAAAATAATACATCTTACATAAGCTGTTAATGCCACATTCCAGTCTCTTAAGTGTTCTGCTTTGTTTCTGATTTGACTGCTCAAGTTGTGTTACTGTAGAATAATTAGACTGGTTAGTGGGTAGCTAAACTCTTACACTAAAAGAAAATGAGGGAGTAGCAATTCATAAAACACACAAATGTAACTCTCTAAAATATTTTTAGCAGAGACTCTACAAGTGAATGAGAACTTCTTTCTACGGAACTGAGGTGAAGAACTTCACCATGGGTCAACAAATTTCAAACCACACACAAACTGTAATTAACAAGTTGCCAGAAAAAGTAGCAAAGCATGCCTCTTTGGTTCAAGAAAGTGGTTTCCTAACGTATGAAGAGTTTCTGGGAAGAGTAGCTGAACTTAATGATGTGTAAGCCTTACTTCGTTTCCTTCTTTTTTTAATGTTTACAGAGACCTTGTATGCAATATATTCTCCTGTGCTGGCTAAGCCAGAACTGGCCATCTGGTTTTGAAATGTTTCCTTCAGTTCTTAAATTTCTATTGTGGTTGTAATTACACTTCAAAACCAAACCCATTTCTCCTCCTTAAAATCTCTTTTCTTCAATACTCTTCTTCCAGCAAGTGTTGTTTCCTTCTTTTAGAAGTTCACAAGAGGTAGTTGTATAGCAGTATCTTTTTGTTAGTGTTACCTGTCTCCCTTACTCTGCCCCCCTCTGCCAGCCACCTAAGGATGCAGTGCTGCTTCCTCTCTGCCCATCACTTTTGGTGGGAAGAAGCAATACGAGCCCTATAAAGACAGTATAAGTACACAAGGAAGGTAGTACCTGAGACAGAACCGTTTGTGACCATCTCTCCCACCTCTGTGGACATGCAATGCAGTTCCTCATTAAAGATGAGACATGCTTCACTATCTGAAACCAGTGGCCAAGATAATCTCAAACAAAAGGCTGCATAAGTAAGATTTTTTTCATAGCCTGCCTTTTGTTTGATTGATACATTGATGGTAAAAAGAAATGAACAGAAAAGCAGAGTTGTCATTTTTACCCAATATTTATAGTATAAAATGATAGGAAATGGAAATGTACACACTGAAAAGGGGCTTTGTAGTGTGTGGCATTTGGTAGTGTTTGATGTTTAACTATAATGTGAATTTGTATTCAGTTTAGAAATTGTCTTGTAGAGTGTCATACTTTTATGAATGACCTTCAAGAACAGATAGCTGTCTTTTGGGTAGACACATAAATAGATTTTGAAGAACATTTCTTTATGTTTTGCCTGAGAATCTAAGCATATCTCAGTGTAATTAACTCCAAAATATCATTGTTGTTTAAATTTTTTTTAATTTCTTTATAGTGTTTACTTCAGCCTGAATGTAACATATCTTGTTCTGATTCTTATGGAATAGACCTTTCTGTCTTGTTCCATTTAAAAAAAAAAAATAAATAAATCCCAGGGTCACATGAACCTTTCACCTGACTGCTTCATTTTTAATATATACTAACAAAAAGACATCTCATCTGCATGTGTCGGTACTTGCATGCTTTTTTTACATACATGGTAAGGAAATAACCTTTCTAGATTGGACCACAAGATTGTATGATTACTGTAATAAACAGTGAAAGTATATACAAAGTAAAATGTCTATAAAGGACGCTTGCTGATGCTGGATCAAAAGACATGTACATCATTTTCTGAAATTTACTGTGCAATTTAAAGTGCAAAAGGACTGTGTATTTCATATTTAATGACATGCTAAGAAGGTCATTACTCTTTCTTTTCATGTCTCTGGGCAGTATTGATAAAATATCTTTAAGGATAAAGAGCACATAGGTAAACAGTAAATACTGCCACAGTGGCTGAGGTTGCTGATCTTTGCATGTCTAGCACGTGATTTAAAACTGATGTTTCTTTATTTCAGTACTGAAAAATTGGCTTCTGGACAAGACAAACATCTGTTATTTGAGGTGCAGCCTGGTTCTGATTCTTCTGCTTTCTGGAAGGTGGTCGTTCGGATAATATGTACTAAAGTAAGATTGTTGAAAATTTTAATTTGGTGGGGGTTTTGTGTACGGATATTTGAGGACTGTTACTTTCGCTGGTAAAATCTAACACCTGCTACATATATTTTGAGTATATATTTTGATACAGATGATGTATTCAAGGATACTTTTTGACATAAATTAAGTCTAAATTCTAAGTTTCTGCAAAAAGCAGGTTAACAAAAACATTTTCCTAACTAAGTTTAAAGGAATGATATCTTCCAATGGAGTGCTTACAGCCCATTAGTTATGAATTCAGGTAATTTGTGAAGCCAAGTCATGGTAATCAAATAGTACAGCAAACTGGGACCTCTATAGTTTGGTAGTAGTAGAGGTTAGTCAGCAATTCCAAGCATTATTAGTTGAGCTAGTGTAACTGAATATATTCTGATTCCTTAGAAAACCAATCTATAAGTTAAATGTTTAACTTGGTAAGTTTTGTCATGGTCTTCAAACTAAGTTTGCTCTAATGAGATTTTTCCCCTCTGTAGCCTATCAAGTAACATCCTTAAATGCTCCTGAAGCCACTGAGCAATCTTAACATGCAGTTTCAACCAAGCCAGCTCTCAAACTTTGTTGGAAACTAACAGTTTGTAATTTTCTGTTTGCTTTTAGTTTTCATTAAGGCAGCCATCATTGTAGGCTATTTTAAGTTCAAATATGAAATGACTGATTATTCTGTTCTTTGTTCTAAGTTTAGCCCAGTTTTTAGGCGTTAGGTCCCTACTCACAACTTAATCCATTTAAGTAGTGATGGTAACTGTCTTGCCCTAAAAATGTAATCCTAACTGTGGCATTCCTCATGATGAAACAGCTGTGTTTGCAGGTCTTAACTCTTACTGAATCAGACTGTAATTTGCTAACAGTGATGGACGCTTGGGAAGGTGGCTACTGCCATGAGAATTGCAGTGCATTAAAAGAATTTTGAGCAATGTCAAGTAAAAATCTGATATGTAATTGTAAATAATTCTTATATCTTAAGATAAATAAAGCAAGTGGCATCGTGGAAGCTTCCCGAATCTTGAACTTGTATCAGTTCATTCAACTTTATAAAGATATCACCAGTCAAGCAGCAGGAGTTCTTGCACAGAGTGGTACTTCTGAAGAAGCTGCTGAGAGTTTGATGTCTGTGTCATCTTGTCAGGCCAGCTTGTGGATGGGAAGGTATTTTGATATACTCTAGCTTCTGACCACAGTTACAACATAAATATTTTGGACATTGTGTGTAGAACCTGAACTACAAACACCTGGCGATCAAAACTGCATGCTCTTGGCAGATGCAGACTTTGTATCATCACAAACATGAATAGCACACCTTCTCTTGTACCAAGGGAGCTGTGTAGTGTACTTGGGTGAAATTCTGTTGGTGCTGCCATACCTTAGCTTCAGAACAATTGTTTTGACGACCAGTTCTAATACAAACAAGGTATATATTGAATCTCCTGAATAAGGAAACAGGAGGAAATGGAATCAGCTGCAGCTACAAATCTAGGGGGTTTGACAGTGTTTGTTTAAACAGATTTTGTTATTGTTCCACTTAAACTTTCTCTTCCTCTTTTACATTTTGGCATGTGAAAGTTCCCATCTGTTGCCACTAGAAAGTCATCAATTATACTAATAATTTAACTTGTAAGACTGGAAAAATGTGAACTGTCTCACACGTGTTGACATCCTGCTTTGTTAACTAGAGGAAAAGCAAAAGACTGAGGTCAACACCTGCAATAACTTCAGTTCAAACTGAATGTAACAGCAAGAAACTTGTCACCCTTTCCCTATGTGGAAATGTTGCCACCAGTAATTCCTTACTTTTAACTTTCTGAATTAGTTCAGAGTTCTAACTCAGTTCTAAGTGAGGTAGAGATAGGTTTTACAAGAAAAAGTAGTAAATGGTATAGTTCTCTAGATCAACCAGTGAAGAGCTGGTAGCCAGGTATTTTAACAAAACAAGTTGCTGAGCTAGTTAACTGTGTTTAGAATGTCATACTCCAGCTGTTAGAATGAGAAAGGGGTCAACTATGTTGTCATTCTACAGATAGAGCCCACTGGTTTTTCTAAGTCTTTGGATTGCAGAATGTTTTCATTAAATTTCCCATTTCTCTTCTTTCGGAACAAATAATCTTAAATTATTAGCTGTTCGGAGTTATTAAAATGCTAGAATTAGGTAGCAAATTGTGGATGTGTTTGGAAAAGCATCTTTTCCTACTCTTTCTCAAAGATATATGGTTATACTAGAACACATATGTATCTGGAAATGGCCTTTTACTTCAAACAAATAAACCGAACAAAAAAACCCTGGATGCTTATGCAAAACATGTAAGATATAAGGTTTCCTATTTCAATTTTCAGACTTTGAGATGGGGGAGGTGAGTATCCTTCATATTTGTGAACTTCATTGCTTGAGGTAGTATTAGTGACAAGTAACAACTGCAAAGAAGGAGTATACTTTTCTAATATGCTGGAATTTAGTAAGCTTGTATCTTATCCAAGTTTTTCAAGTCATTAAGGAAAACAGAGGCTGAAGCACCTTCAAGTATTTTACACCGAGGAAATATTCTGTTTGTTTTTCCATTATGTCCTCCCATTTGCTTAAATTCTTCTCACCTTTAGACATTTTTCAGCTCTGCAAGAGCTAGCCATCACTGTCCAAAAATAGCAAATACTATCTGTTTCCTTCTTCTTCTTATCTTAACTTCTTCCACTGGAATAATACCCCATTTCTCTAGAACATCCACTTCCTATTTGGAGCATTCCAAAATATCCCTTAAGTGTTTTATTCTTTCTGATAATGAAGAGACAAGCATTTCCTCAGTTTGTCACGCTTGTATTTTACCATTCTTCAGAAACTTAAAATGGCTAAATCTTAGGTTCCAGAAACTTTATAAATAGGGCATCTGTTTTAAGTATAATTGCTTGTATATACAGCAGCAAATCTCAAAAATTGAAGTGTTATCAAAGGTTAGTATTCAGGAGTTGCATGGGGGAGGGAAGTGAAAGGGAGCAAGTCCAAAGAACATAGTGAGCTAATCAAAAGAGAGGTTTTTTTGGAAGTGTTATCCTTACTGTATGCGAATCACCATCTGTTAATTCTACCAAAAAAATCTCCTAGCATTCTAAAGTAATTTCTCAAAAAGCAAATTGAAAAGGAAACCCCAAGGACCTACTGAAGAATAAAACAAAATCATGTTAATTGCTGTCAATTAGCTGGCTAATCTGTACAGGTAAAAAATTAAACTGTATTTGACAGGCTCCCAAGATACCTAAGCAAAAGTGGTCTGGTCAATAGTTATTAACATGGACTGTCTCTCCCGAAATGCCATTCTTTCTAGAATGCTGCCTCTGTTCCCCAAGTCACAAAAGGGATTCCCAAATCAGGGTTTTTGGAAAACCTAAAAATTTCAGAACACTTACTTGGCTGTCTTAGAAGTGAGCCATGACTATAAAATTAGGGAACTTTGCACATCTATTAGGTCCATGAAAGCTGAGGATTCTCTGCACCTTTTAATGTTTGAGAAGTCTTGGTAATGCAAATATTTGAGATACTACTGTTAAGAACTTCAGATACAGATACCTATTATTTGGTGGTGGCGGGGAATGAAGACAGATAAAATGAAAATGTCTGTCCCAGGGAGTGATCTAATTTTTAAACTTCTGCCCCACCCCACCCCGCCAACACGTAGAAGCTTAACTGGAAAAGCTCTGGTAAAAGTCAACTGGAGAGAGAGTCCTAATTTCAAGGAACAATCATGAGGAGGGTATTGTAAGCTCAAACCAGCCTTTTCAATCTAATGAGCAGTTTAGATCTTGGCATTTTGGTGGCATGTGAAATTAGAGAACGTGCACTCTAGTAGTGATCCTCTGGACATGCATGTTTTTATCTAGGATATAAGCCAGAAATGTGACAAAGTTCATTATGAAATAGTGCAGCCTGACACTCTGTGAAAGGAAGGCAGATTCTTCTCCTGCCTTTAATGTAAACAGTATTTCTGTTCTTTTGCCCAGTCATATGATACGTAACAGTTAAAACTTCTCACACTTCCTTGTTGATATGAAAAAGGATTTGCATAAACCTTTGCAACACCGAAAGCACCACATGACACAAAAAATAAATGCATATTCTAACAGTTTAGTTCATTTACTGCTGTTGGTTGGTAGCTTGAGGCTATGTGTGCTGACATAGACTGGGATGATGTAACTAGTTCGTTCACAAAATTACATGTTCCTTGTAGATAAGCACAGGTGTTCCTTTCTGTCCATCACTAATTATTATGAAAAATGTAGTAACTAGTGTAGTTACTAGGGCATAAATATAAAACTTTTTAGTTATCTGGGACAAAATACTGTCTTCTCTTCTGCAGGGTTAAACTGTTGACAGATGAAGAGGAATGTTGCATCTGCATGGATGGGCGTGCTGATTTAATCTTGCCGTGTGCTCACAGTTTCTGTCAGAAATGCATTGATAAATGGTAATACATATTAAAGGATATTCCTTATTTTATAGTATGTACTGGTTATCTGACATGTTTCAGTTTGGTCTGACAGATTACTTAGTACCCATATAATTTAATGTCTGAAGATATTTGCAAGCTAATGTACATATGATACGTAATAATCTTGAGTAAAATCAGACTACAGCAGAAAGAAGGAAGGATTTCAGAATTTGTAAACATGAAGAATTTCATTTTGGAAAAAGATGTGAAAGTACTTTTCAGCATTTGTTTTGTAATTTCTTATCTCTTTATTCTTGTAAAATTAAATCATTGTATTCTTGCTCAAAAACTAGAGAAGACAGGGTATATGCTGGCATGTTATGCTTCACAAAATCTCATTAAAGCGTCTTTTTATGGAAAAAATCAATAGTTTGTAAGACTATGCAAATATGAAGGCAAGTTGGACAGTCTTACCACTTACTTGGAAAATAACTATCAGAGGAATTTTCTTCCATGTATTATGCTTTCACTTGAAACAAATAGTATACAATTTACTAATTTAAATATATCAGACTTCTCCAGGAAGAGATTTCTTCTCAATAGCAATGCCTTTGAATTTATGTATAACATGTATCTTATAATGTATGTTCAGCTTCATAGTAACCTGAACAGCTTTTCAGCTTCTGCATCTGTCTGATACACCAGTTGTTGGGAAGAGAGAGAAAAATTACTTCGTGGAGGAGCATGGCTCTTCTCTGACCATGCAGAAGACCTACAAGGATTAGGCAGGTGTTCTGCAAGTCTAGCATTAGGTGATACAGATATCCTCAGTTAAAGGCTTTTTTTGACTAGTTAATGTAAATGATTTTACATTTAAGTCATTTAATTTGTGCACAAGAGTTTGTTTTGTGGCTTTTTCAAAGGCTTATCAAGGAAGTTACTCTTGTAATACCATGCTCCCACAAGGAAAAAATGTAAAAATCACTGGATCTCAGAGTATAACTAGTCATCTCTTTTCTGGGAATATATTTTAACATCTATCAGCAATACAGGGCTTAGTTTAGTGACTGTGGTGGAGAGTGGATTATATTCTACTTTGGCTAATGAATCAGCTGAACTCTTAGCTAAGTTCCAGTTATACCATTCTTTTTTTGCTAATCAATTTTTAAGATTACTTTTCTTAACCTAGGCAGATAACAGAGGCTCCCAGCTCAGAAGCATAATTGTTTGGGACCCCTGAGTTAGTCAGTGGAGGGGCATGGGACCCTGAGGGACCAATCCTAAACTTCAGTGGGCTGAATGATCCAGGAAAAGGGTTCCTTTTCTCTTTATATAGGAGGCTTATGGGGACTGGTTTCTGAAGTACCTCAGCTGAATATGTAAAGATAGGAAGAATTAATTTAGACTGTGAATTTCTATTTAAACTTTCTGGACAGGTAGCTAGATGCATTCTGTTTAACCTGGGCAAACTTGATTATGGGGAACACGACTCCAAATTTGTCACTCAAAGAATGGGGCTACATTCAGAATTGTTGGCCAATCTTCCTCACAAGAAAAAGTCTTTAAAGAAACAAAGAAATATATAGGTGGTCTAATCCAGTTGACCTGATAATTTTCTTGAAGTTCTCACTGGGTTGTTTTGGGTTCATTTGTTTCTTTGGGGCTCTTTTGGCTTTTATTGGCCAGGAAGAGACCATCAATGAAAAATACTAATTTCTCTGGCTTCCTAACAGGAGTGATCGTCACAGAAGCTGTCCTGTCTGCCGTCGGCAAGTGACTGGGGCAAGTGATTCTTGGGTGGTCTCAGATGCACCTACAGAAGATGATATTGCTACTTATATACTTAACATGGTAGATGAGGCGGGCCAGCCTCACAGACCCTGACAGTGGCCAACAAGCTGATAATAGCAGAAGCACTTGAAGCTTTCGTTTTCATGAACGTCTGTTTTTACCTCTCGTTGCTGTTCTTCCACAGTCTGTCTTTTACTTCTCTTCTTGGCTGCTGTGAATCTACACTGCTCTTTTAAAACACAAGAGTATATGAGCCAGTGTATGTGTGTGCAGTCATAATTATTAATCTGTACTTTCAGTAAACTCTTTGATCATTAACAAAGTTTATTTTAACAAGAACTTGTGATATTAATTAACAGTTCGACTACTAGATGAAGCAATTTATAACAGCACAACTACAACTGCTAACTGCTGTTTGAACATCACAGCGTACTACTACAGAAGATGAACCATGTCAGATGGCTTGACCTCATAGTTCTTATCCTTAAAAGCAGTCCCTCTTAATTTCATGACAAATGTGAATAAAGATAAGTTAGCACTAGTGATTATTGATTTGAAATTTTACTGTTGAAACTTGAAGATGTCCCACTGACTGTTCTTCAGTAGCCAGTTATTGCTGCTTTTAGTGTTTACAGACACTGATTTCAATCTGGTTTATTAGGCGGTTTAGTATTAATTATTTTAAATCTGTTTTGGAGAGTGTAGGCAGCTCTGTAGATGTACTTGTGTGCTTCCCTTTATTCTTCTAACAAGATTATCTCTTAGAATATTTTTTTAAATATGATGTTTAGCATAGTCTTACTAGCTTGGAAACATTAAAGTTTCATACACAATCCTAAAAAAAGTAAATCAGTTTCTCTATAGTTTTTTGATCAAGAACAGCCAAAATTATTTTTAAACATGAGGCATATCTGAAGAGAATGACTTTATTTGAATTAGCAGTTAAGGTGTAGATTAGTCTGAAGCTGTGGTTTTATCTGCTTCTTTTGAGTTTTTGAAGTGATGAAATCAGAGTTATAAGATATATTAAGAGTTATAAGGTGATAATCTAAGTAAGGGTGCTGTGCTTTATAAGTGCAATATGCTTTTATGTAGCAGAGGGAAACTTCCACTTTATTAATAATGTTGCTTGCAGTGAGATGTGCATGTGACTAGGGAGAAGGGATATCATAACTGTAGTGCAACAGTGTATTTCTGTGTCTAGCACAAGAGCTGAGTTTAGACAGTCTAAAATAAATCATTAAGTATCAGGAAACCCATCTTAAGCCTCTTTTGCATAGTGTTATGGAAATCAACTGCTATTGTAGAGAATTGATTATTTTTTTAACATATATTAACAAATACTCTTAACTTGAGGCTATTGAGTGAGAAATGCTCGAGTGTAGCGTTTGAGGGAATATCAGCATAAATCTCACTTACTGTAAGACTCTATTTTTAATTACCAATGATGCCATAAGGCTAAGGCCTTTTATCACAGACAGGTTCTGAACTAAAAGGCCTGTGCACACATAGATATGCACATTTGTTTATTTTTCCTAATTGGCTACAAAATAATTTAATTACATTGGGGACTAGATATTGGGAATTCCTCTATTATACTTCAATTTGTTAAGGAATGTCCATAGCATATGGCACCCATGTGAGCCTGGCTTATGGCACAGTTGTCAAATTTATCATAGACATTAAGACAGATAAGCAACATACTCTTCTTGTGTGTATCCTCTGAAAGCCAGTATGGCTTAGTGTGTAAATCTGTATTTAACTATTGAAAAATCCCCTTATGAATGTATATAGCTTAGAACGAATTTTTTCCCTTTGTTAATAATCCTTTGATATCAATGAGATATTCTTCAGAAAATGTATGGCCTGTTTGGTTGCATAAAGGCAGTTATTATTTGGGCTAAAAATTGTTAATGGTCAGGGATTTTCCACTAAAATATTTGCAAATATTCCTAATCACACACTAGTTTGGGTTTGGGGTTTTTTTTTGCTTTTTGAGCTTGCATTAGTCCATGTTCAGAACTTTCAAATAACCTTTGAATTTTTTAAACTTTTTATATCACTGGAACAGAAAGAGCATCTAAATTAAAGCTTCAAGCTAACTTTATTTTTCAAGTATTTAAAGAATTATACTTCTGAACTAACATTTTATAAGTTGACTTTCTGCTGAGAACTTACATGAACTTAAAATGTAATTTTGTAATGATGCAAACAGATTATTAATTGCAGCATAATGACACTTGCAATTACAATATAAACTAATGCAAAAATTATTTAAATAGTGAAAAAGTAAACTTTGTATTCTGTACAGCTTTTTTTAATTAAGTTGCTGTAATTCACACTGCTGTGATGTAGGTACTGTAATGTGTGCCTTGTAAAATATATGTACTGTATATTATATGGGATAATAGGTAAATTGACACTGAAAAACTAGTAATTTGATACTGGTTGGTATTACCTAGTCCAAAGTACTACATTTAGCAAACAATTTTGGAAAAGGAAAAGGAATCACATCATTGGTAAGGACATGGCAATGGGTTCCAGAAGCTAGACATTGAAAATGTGAATTACTACGAATAGCCGTTGGTGAGGGGCATTAGAACAAACTAAACTTTCTTGTGTTAAGTGAAGATTTCTTACAGGTTTAATGTGAAATTGTAATTTAAACATTATAGCATGTATTAATAGCTAAGGACATTCCAGTATATTAAACTTTGTGTATGAATTGTGCAATAAAGTTACTTTGGAAGAAATGTCAAAGTTCTTTTAAGCTTAAGGAATCTCTTAGCTTTAATGCCACAAAAGTGTGAAAACTGAATTTTAATCTCAATAAAATTCCGTTGTACAGGTGGTGTGGTTAAAACTACACCATTATGAGTCAGATGATGTCTCTTAAACTTTAAGTGTGATATTAACAAAGAAGTAGCTTAAAAGCAGCTCTGCAAAAAGACTCAGATTCTCCTATTTTTCTTTTGTCAAAACAAATAAATTAGAACATTCTGCAATGATGAGAAAAATTAAACAACTCTACTACTTAAAAGGACAGTATTGACAAGCAGGTTTCTGTGGGAAAAGGATTTTTTTTTTTTTTTCCCCCCCTGTGATTTACTTTTTCCCCAAGTTATTCCATTGTGTTTCTGGTAGTATTTTAAAGCTTAGGAATGCTAAGGTTGGGAGTATTCTTTCTTCTCAGATTTTTCCTGGTTTTTAATAAGAATTGAATTATATAATTAATGTAACCGTTTCCACTGTCTAGTTACTTGGTTTATCTGGTTAGATCTTTCAAAGCCAAGTGAGAAATGGGAGAGGAATTCATTAACGGATCAGGAAATTAAAACTGGAAAACTTACCAGTTGACAGACACACCAGGAGGTAGGTGTACTTGAGGAATTAACAAATATTTATATTTACTGTTTCAAGTTTAGACACTGTATTAATGTAACATGCATGTTTCTTTTTTTAGTGGGAAAGGGCATATTTAACTTGTACATCTTTCCTTTAAAGAGAATTCTGTATATAATTATAAAGGTTTTCTAATCCATACTCATTCCAGTTCTAGACACAAAAGGCAACCAGTTTGATCTCAGTGCTATAGGTTTGAACTGAACTTTTAAATTCCACCCCTGTGTAGCTCTATGTGCCAAATACATTATTTTTAAAAGGAACATCTTAGCTATGGTCTTTGTGCTTTGTGTCCCACTGAACCCTGGAACAGTAGCCTCCTCAGGGAGCCTTAAAGATGCTTGATATGTGGGAGCTGTATGTTAACCTGTTTGGCCTTAATTCTTGACACTGCGTATACATAATTCTTTAATTTTCTATCCACTAAATACACATGCTCTGTAATGGAAGTAATTGTATTGTGACTAACATTACAGTAATTAATTATTTTCTTTGGTTTTCTGTTGTTAAACCATTCCTGAAGGTAACTTACCATAAGATGTCATCCTCACTTGTTTTAAAGGGGACGAATGGAATTCTGCTTATAAGTGTGTCTTAAAAATTAGGAATTACAAAACTGATTTTTTTTAATTGTCATTTCTTCAGATGTTTGGGTCTAAAGCCTAGAATTTATCATACGGCAACATACTCTAAAGACTGAACATTCTTTTCCTGTTGCTATGTGTAGCTGAAATTAACCTAAATGGGACAGTGTTGGTTTCCAGTAACCGCAGTGTAGGATCACCAGATAACGTGTTTTGCTGTGAACTAGCCATGTTCCAATGAATGTTATATCTGTGAGGGATCTGACAACACATTCTACTTTTGTATCTCTCTGAGCTGTCAAGATGTTAATTAGCAGATGCTTACCTAACTAACTTAACTATCGAGGTTAAAATATTAAATACCAGGCATGGGTTTTGTAGGCCTGAAATTAAAAAAAAAAAAAGCTACAGTTTTGTGAACTTGGATGAAACTTTGCCCGGTATGAGTCTGGTGGAATGAAGAATACTATCCAACAGGTAATTAAATGAGCACTCTTCTTTGGTTCAAAGTGCTATTTAAAAATACAAGAAAGGTGGTTTTATGAATTAAGCTTAAATTAGTCAGAAACCTGCCCTTCTGGGATTTGATTGTATGTGGAACACGGTAGGGTTTTCATACAACAGTCTATGCTGCCATGTTAATGTGGTTCCAACCCACTTTAATAGACCTTCCAAAAAACATATTTTATGTGAGACTACCCATTAGTCATGATTAATGAATTAGCTGTGTTTGGTGTCTCACTATTATATTATACTATGCTCTATGCTGCTTAACATTGGTATTTAGTGCTTTGAGAGGTATGAGGGAGGAAAACACATTCTTCAGTTACAGATGAGTCTGTACTTTTGTGCTTCATGAGTGCTGCTTGTGTACAGAAATAAAGAGTTTGTGTACAGAAAGAGAGGCACATTTTAATCTCATCTAAAAATCTTTATTACATTTCCTACTGAAGTAATTTGTGTTAAACTTTTTTCCTCAGAAGTCATCTTGACTGTAGCAGACTGTCGATGTTTATCTTAACTATTTATTCCAATTTGTCACTTGTTGGCTTCTTAGTTTTGTTCTTTTTGTCAGATAAAACTGCTCTCTATACTGCTTAAATTGTTTCAACTGTGAGTGTCAGAATTGCTTTCTTGCTCCCAAATTTAGGTGTTTTGACTCTCAGTTTTAATATCAAGATGAGGCTCCAGCATGAGAGAGGTGCTGCATGCCCTGCCCTGGTGGCCAGTTTGGATGAGCAGGGAACCAAAGAGACAATGGGGGCAGCCCTGCAGTACAGCTTCACTTCAGTACTTCGTGCCAGGTTTTCTGCTGGCACAAATCAGAACAGTTGGTTTTCATTAATACTGAATTGCTTTGTCAGCTAAGCTTTTAGTGCCTTCTCCTAAATATTGCTTATTATCTTCTCTATCTCCACTGGGTTTTTTCAGTTTTCATGCTGCGGTAGTCCTTAATTTTGGTTCAGTCTTCTGTACTGCTAACAGTCTAACTGCATAGGTTTTTAGTTCTACTTAAATGCGGAGATCTTGAGCAGCTACAGTTTTATTGAGATACACACACAAAAACCCTAACCATATTCTTTTATAATTTATTTATTAGCTTAATGCTTCAACAAGAGGCAAAAGATAAACATCATTTAACCCAGGCACAGAAAGAAAAAGCAGTTTTTACAGACATCTCTCCCCCCACCCACCTTTTTCAGACTTAGATTTTAACTAGGCAAATAAAACAGAAAGGTTTAGCCACAAGTAAAGAACAATGATATCAGAAGATAAGGTAGCTCTGGGGTGAGAAAAAGAATTGTATTATCTGGTGGCAGAGCAGCTGCCTTAGGTTTGCTGAAGTAACATAACAGAATGGAAAAGCTTCACTAGAAATTGTTCAGATAGGTATGTTGTAAACATCAGATAACCAGAATTAACCATTTTAGGTGAAAGTATAAAATGCTCTGAGCTAACAGATTTAAGGAAGTCTTGAATAACATTTGAACCTTAACACCACTGAAATGATGAGAAAATAGGGTATTCTTCCATTCTGAAGCAACACCCGTCCCAGTCACTACCTACAGTGACGTTGTTCTAGTCCCCTTCTGTTTGAGTAAAACATAAGCTGTGGTGTAACCAGGTTTGATCTCATCACTGGTAAGGGGGCGGGAATCAGCAACTGCTCTGTCTTGCATTTGAGTAAACATGTACAACAGTAATTCAGATGTCAGTAACACTTCAACACTGGATTGCCCTTCATTACATACATATCCTAAGACTGCAACGTTATTTTGAACAGCCATACATCAGAACAAAAGTGCAACTTTAAAAAAGAAAAGAAGCTGAAATTTAAGAACTGAGCTTGAGAATCAATAACTTTTGCCTAATTAAAAGATGACCAAAAGATGTGGTAGTGGAAGCTTGAAAGGATGTCGGTTTGTTTCCCAAAATATGACACTATTAGCTCAATTTATCCTTAAAAGCAGCACATAAAGAAGCACAGAAAGCAGAACTTGTGGTCATGACCACTTGTGTGTTAATTGTTGTTATTGTCAAAATCCCAATTACTGTCCATTAACTGAATAGTCAAATCCAGTTTTGTTTTTTTCTTTAATGAGCTACAGCTGTATTAGAACCTCATGTGTTTGAGGTAAGGAAAGCTGAAAAGGTATTAAACAAACATACACAGATTTGGTAGAATATTAAGAAAACTAAATAAGAAATCTTAAGTGACAACAAAGGCAGCACTAATAGCAATCTTCAGGTGAAACAACGCAAGTAAAGCAATGTTTATCAGATGAAAATACTTACAATTTAAATTCTTAAAACCAGATGTGTTGCTTATTTAGCCTGGACGCAGATGCTTTTCTCCGGTAAATAATGTTATGTTGATAACAACTTATTAGTAAGCGGTACGAATGAAAACGTCTGGATTTTATGCAGCTAAAATGCTTGAACCACTGTTTTCAGACTTTAACCTAAGAAAATTACACTTGCCAATCCTGATAATGCATTATATAAGCTGCTGAAGTTTCTAACAGTGAGGCCAATAGGCACTGTTGACCAAGAACTTTGGACAATTATATTATCATACAGTTGAGCAGCGTAGCACGATTTCACATGATTTTTAGCTGCACAAAGAATACAAAATCTGGCACTAGTTGAACACTGGAGACCTTAGGCTAGGTTACTGAAGCGCTGAAGTCAAGTCTCCCACCACCTGTCTGCAACCATATTTTGGACGAAAAACGTCTGCAATTATTGCAGCTTCCTGTGCATAACACTGGCTAACTGTAATGGTGACTGGATGGCCAGAACTCTGCTCCTGTGTCTTGATCTCCCTCGGAGCAGCCTTACTTCCAGGCTGCTTCCTAAAGGTCTTTAGGTTTAATCTCTCTTACGCAGCTCTTACAGGGCTGCACAGCTATAGGAGGTGATAGGGAATTCCTCCCTCCCTTCCGTTGGTGCCATTTCCCTGCAATCACCATTCAGGACAGCAGGCACATTAAAAAAGTGTCCCTGTAGGTATTGCTTTGAACTGCCACAGCCTAAGGAGAGAGCGTATGTCTTCAGTGCATATATACATTTAGGCCATTAATGACTTGTTTGGTACTGGTGATGTCACCACTGCTACTTCTGGCTGCATTTACAAGGGAAAGTGAGACCTGATCAGCTCTTGAAAGGAAGGATGTAGGTGCCCAAGCCGCAGGAGAAGAGCCTGGCCTAAGAAATACAAGTTACACAAGACAGCTGATGTAGTAAAACATGCAGGGTTCTAGGTCTAGTGAGGCTTGATTGGCTAGTATTCATTATTTGCTTTTTATCCATTAATTCTGAATTAATGTTCTCATGCCTAACCTCCCAATGTATTTATTATATTAGATACCCAGGTCTCTAACTGTAGGCTCAAGATCCTAGTTTAGGGACTATAGGCCTTCAAATTAAGTAGTGTAATGTTGGACTTGCAGGCATCAACATCCTCTGCTGGCCCTAGCCTGAGTATTTTTTGGTGTGAAACTACATGCAGCTTCTACAATACATAGATGCTATCATGTTACCTTTAATCCTTTCTGAATGAATAGTACTGTGTCTTACAAAGGATGATCAAATAGAAAAAAGATTGAAAGTGATAAATATTCCAGTAGCTGTATGTTACTAGCCACTCCATCATAAATAAAAAGTTTAACATAACATGATTTGTAATGACATATTTCAAGCAGGCAAGCTTCTGTATAAATAGACAGTTTGACTTCTCATTCAACTCTGATTGACTAAAATACAAACTAACACAAATGTGTAAAAAGATGTCAGAAGTAGGACCAGAACCTAGGTCTGGAGTTTCTACCACTGATTCATAAGAACACTTCCTTTGTTCAAGTAAAAAATTTCTCTTCACATGCAACCAAAATTATCTGCATAAATTTCCAAGTAATTTGAACTGGTATATCCACATATTCCCATTACGAAGCAATAAAAAAAGTGTTCTTAACTTTCAAGGCAAAGTTTTCATGATATAATTAGACTCGTTATTACAATGTACAATAGTGATGATTTTGACACCATGTTTTCTACTTACTAGATTAAAAAGCATTAATCTGCTGTTCTTCCCAGACATCCTACATGACAACAGGAAGTAATTAATTACTCATTAAACAAGACTACCAGACTTTGTTTTTTCTTGTTTGCTAGTATAACTGCTGATAAAAACTGTCAGAACACTTTCCAGAATGAAAGGGTAGCCTCAAAATTATGCACCCCATACAAAATGCTAGCAAATAAAGGGTTAAACTTAAAAGTGCTAAATGTCATGATTGCTACTGAGACTAGCAGGACAAAAACAGGTGCATGTATACTATCCGCATCTGCAGAATCCTAAGGTACATTATCACAGATGTCCTGTGACTATTCTGTGTTGTTTTCCAAGCTACAATACAGTGCACAGTTACGACAGTATGAAACAAATATTACATGATTCTGAGTTTGCATTTAATATTTACAGCAATCTTACAAAGCCTCATGTTTGTAGAAACTGAAATTTTTGCAATGAGAATAATGCAGTAAAAGATAACAGCAAATGCTGTTTACCTTCCATAGATACTCTATTTTTCTGTGTACTGTTCAGTTATGTCTTGGTAGCATCAAAGACAGATGATTCAATGTTAATTAGCATCTTACCCTGTTTAGGAGTGAAATGTTCTGGTTTCTTGGAGCTTGTAACTACTTTGACAGAGTAGAAATCTCTTCTGTTCTCATAGCATCAGACAGGAAACTAAGTTCATTGCACAGTGTCTCATACCTGAAGGCCATCCGGATCTGGGCAACATTTGTCTTTCGAATGTCATTTCCCTCAGGCCCTTCTTTACAGTAATTCACCCCTAAGAATTTCTGTTTTTCCTGTGAACAGGATTAAATGTAAAAAGGAAGAAGTCAGTTCAACTGCTTTGATTTATTGTTTAACTGAGTATTTGTTAGTTGGATGACTCCAGCGCAAGTGAAAAGAGCAGCTTCAACCAGCTGGCCATTGAACTTTACCTCAGAGTCTTAACCAGTTTTGGAGAGTTTAAGGCCAAGGTTTATATATATAATTACTAAGCAGTGCACTCAGTCTGGCTTGCTAAAACCCTTTGTGCTAGTGTTCAGTCTTCGCTACTACATCTTTCATATGAGAAGTCAGAAAGAGGCTTAGGTTTCTTTTGTTAGTTAAATGCTGCACAAGAGGAAAATTAGTAGTTGTCACTAGAGAATATTGGAAGAAACAACAGAATATACTTGTAAAGCCCCTTCACATACCAGCTCGAGAGGAATGTTTGAAAGTGACATAGAAGAGAGGATGCTCTAAAATAAGTCCTAGGGAAAGCCATGGATATATAGAATTTTAAAGCCCAAAGGGAATTTAATCTAATCTGCCTATCTAAACCAGAATATTTTCTGTAGTACTCCCTTCTAAGCAAAAACATGTCTTGCTTATGATAGGTAGTTTGTTTTCACTCAAGGCAAGACATGGATGTATAAAATTACTGGCAAAGGGATATCACCCAAATAATTAAAGGTTTGGGACTGGAGGCAGAACTGAGTATAAACAGGCACCTGGTCTCTCTGTATGTTTTGGGAATTCCAAAACAAAGCTAATGAGGAAAAATGTAATGTTAATACTTTTTTTTAACGTAAGACTGCATAGCAGATACTTTGCAAACATTTCTGGAAAAGAGGATAGGGATGTGCACAAATAAATCACATAAGCACCTACTATTCAGTTTTCAGACTACTGACTTTTCAGTTCCTACTTGCCCTAATATTCACAGAAGAGATTTTTTCAGCCATAATTACCTTATCTGACAATCCACTCTGTAGTACGCTGTTTCTTGCTATTTCACACAAGTCACAGGTACTTAGTTTCCACACCTGGGCTGCAATAGCATATTCTTCCATGAGAGCTTCCTGTATCACCAAAATATGCTTAATATTAAATTATATGTAAATAAAATGTAAACGGCAATATGTACTCATTACTAATTAAGGAATTTATACATGCTCTTTAGATAGCTGTGAAAAATTAGAGGTTTAAGACTTTAAAATCACAATTACTAACAAACAAAATTGTTTATTTCAAATTTCCCAAGGGCAACTGTTAAATAATTAATAGGCACTGGATATCCAGTTATCTTAGCCTAAGAAATTGCAGCCTGCAGTCCAGATCCTTAGAGGCATTTAGTAGGCAATTTCAAACGAGATCCCGGGGTATATAAACACCTTGGAGGATCTAGTCGTAAATCTTGAATGAATATGAACATCGACAGATAGCAGGGCAATTTCTCACTTCTGACCTTCCACACAAGGAGGTTGGGTCTGACTCTAGTGGGCTGTCACAGCTGAGGATCTTCCACGCTACGTGTAACTCGGCTGGTGCTGCGTTACATCCATGCAGAAAGCCCCCACAGAAGCTGTCTTTTCTAGCAGAGACATGTCATGGGCCAGAAGCAAGCCTGGGTGAAGCACACCAGAGCTCAGCTTGTCCTCAGAACACAGACAACTGAGCAACGTACAGGCCACTCTAAGGCACAGCATGACTCAAGTCAGCGCCAACCACACAACTGGGGCATCAAAACCAGTGACCAGGCATTTCTGTCCTGCCAGGCCACCCAAGGGCAAGAATCAGCTTCCATTCACTGAGCAAACAGCTCATACGTCATCTTCTGAGATTCCACATAGTGTTTTTGTAATGTACTTCCCCAGATTTATTAGTAAGGAAACTGGACTTTCCTGGCACTCTAGAGGATTGTTTATGAAGGCTCAAACCTCCCTTCAGCCTCATCCTTCATTCTATACTTCAACAGCCAACACTGGAGAGGCAAGAGTACAAAAGAAACATAATTAGGAAATCAGACATTTCCCTCTGAAACCTAACAGTGAGTAGCAGACTGAGAATGAGGAAGAATAATGAATGAAGTGACTGAAAGACATGAAACTTTATATCCTAAGCAATGACATAAAATAGCTTTCAGGTCATTCTGGACCTATGTGGTACTGTTGCCAAATTCAAAGACAAGTGCTTTTTGCAATTCTTACCTTTGTATAATGAAACTGCATAGGATCATCTGTGGAGAGAGAGACATGAAGTCCCTTATGTAGAAATTCCCGTAGTGGATTTTTTGAGTACTCCAGGAATAGGCTGTTGTTACTAAGTGGAGACATAGCAATGGGTATTTGTGCAAGATAATAAAGATACTGGAGGACAGGACTCTGCAAAACAAAACACAATCAGCATTTAATGGTAGTACAGGATAATGAAAAAAGGAAGGATTTCCCTTGGATAAAATTGGAAAAAGCATTACAGAGGGAGGACCAAGACCAAAAAAGTAGGTTGAAACTAAACTCTGACTTCTTTAGAAAATATTTGAAAGTCTTAATTTTAAATGTTACTGATCTTTATAAAAGTAATTTATATTCCTCCTATGTCACTTTTTTAAAAATACAGTGACTAATATTAGTGTAATTAGCAAGTATAGATGACTAATAAGAGCACTGCATTTGATACTAACTGCATACCTTCCCGCAAAACCTGAAAGTCACAGATAACAGATGTGTAAGAACTGCTAAGAAATTTGTTATTTTCAAAACTGCAGTCCAATAGGTAAATTTTAGGAGCAGAAGAAGTTTTATTAGAAGTCATGTGTTGCTGTTGCACACAATATAAATAATCTGTGGTCACCTCATCTTTATTACTATTTTTGGCTTAATCAACCTGTGAACCTAACAAGTACCTTTATTATTATTGCCTGCTGTGCCAGGTTATCACACCAGACTAAATAGGAGAGAGTGAAAAGGAGAATGCTTTGGTCACATACAGCCTTAGTACTACTCTGTCTGGGTCTATATTTTAGGAATTACTCATTCTGAGCATTACATCGGACATGATTTCAGGCAAAATTTTTCTTTGTTCTTGGGTACGTTGAAAAATACAGTGAGAATTTTCCAGCATTAACCAGAAAATCCAACTTATAAGAGAAGTCTGTCCCAAAAAATTGCAATAAACTCAGTGCAAGTCTGCCACCCACTGACCAATTATTTTAATTACAAAACAGTAGCCTGGCAATGAGTTGTGTGATCGTTTTTATTAACTCATATGCCAGGAATGATAACATTTGTCCTGTCATAACAATCAAGTTGTATATAAAATATTGCTGTGTTATACAGCTATGTTAAATTTCTTGATCAAGTGATCCCAGTTACTCTAGATATAAATAATCAAAACCTTAATGAACTTCTGAATGAACCTTTAAGTAAAGGGATGCCAGTCAGGGAAAATGGCCTTTGTCTCTGTACAGAAAAAACTAGACCTTTCCTTAAATTCTTCTGGGACCTATACCAGGGAGTAATAACAAGTCTAAGCAGTTTTTTCCATGTAATTTTAGCTATGCTTGGAGTAATCAAAAACAGGTGCCGCCAAGTCCTTGATGTATCTGAACAGTTGTTCTTCCCTATAAAGACACAGCTTTAAAATACTTTGGAAAAAGCTGTATTTTTGTAGCTTAAGTAAGAAATACGAAGTTCAGCTGAGCTTATTTATTTCTTAGAAACATAGAATGGTTGGGGTTGGAAGGGACCACAAAGATCATCTAGTTTCACCCCCCCTGCCGTGGGCAAGGACATCTTCCACTAGACCAGGTTGCTCAAAGCCCCATCCAGCCTGGCCTTGAACAATTCCAGGGATGGGGCGTCCACAACCTCTAAGGGCAACCTGTTCCAGTGCCCCACCACCCTCACAGTCAAGAGCTTCCTTACACCTAATCTAAATCTGCCCTCTTTCAGTTTAAAGCCATTACCCCTTGTCCTATCACTACATGCCCTTATAAAAAGTCCCTCTCCAGCTTTCCAATAGGCCCCCTTTAGGTACTGGAAGGCTGCAGTAAGGTCTCCCTGGAGCCTTCTCTTCTCCAGGCTGAACAACCCCAACTCTCTCAGCCTGTCTTCATAGGAGAGGTGCTTCAGTCCCCTGATCATCTTTGGGACCCTCGTCTTGACTCACTCGAGCAGGTCCATGTCCTTCTTATACTGGGGCCCCTAGAGCTGAACACAGTACTGCAGGTGGTGTTTCTGATCAAAGTAAAGAGTTACTTGTGTCTTGCTAAGAAAATTAATTTTGGGCTGCCCAGATAAAGTCAATTTGGTGACTGCTGTTTGAACCAGTGACTGATGTCTAAGCAGACAGTGATTAGGTGACCAACCAAGCAATACCTTCTTCAAGAGCAATCCATGAGAAATGTTGTCTGCTGTCAGAAAGGCTGATACAAGGTGTGTGATAGACCCAGCTTCTCCACAGTGAGGTCGAAACAGAAAAGTACACATGCCTCTTTCCCTGAGGAGATTAAACACAAGTTCCGCTAACAAAAAAATGCACTGTTCTTCATCTATTTTGTATATAATTATCATTAATAAGAAAATGTAAAAAAATTAGAAGTTACACATTCTCATACAATTTGATGTGACATCTAATCAGGCCTACCTGTGTGCTGCTGTCAAAAGCGGCAGGTCCCTCTACCCGAGACCCTTCCACTACCTGATATATTTGTGTCTTCCTTCTTCTTTCCTTCCCCAGTTACATCTCATTTAGCAATTGCTTAGCCACTGGGTGAACAGTTACTGAACTGATTTCAGTTGAGGGAACTGGCAGATGGAAAGCTAAATGAACTGATGCAACCTGTGGCCACATAATTCCTAGATTCAGAATGAGGGAAGAAGAGGAAGCATGTTGCCAAGTGTTAGCTAACACTATCTAGTGTGATGACAACCTGCCATCTCACCAGGTTAAGTGTAGCATAAAACCACACCCTCAGTAGCACAGAGATGATCTAGGAGTGTTAGTTATTACACTAGACCTCACGCTATAATTTCTAGAACTATTTTATTTTTATCATCTATATTAAAAATTATGCTGGGTTTTAGATTATAATGGACCCTGTTATTCAGTGCAGACGAATGTCCTGTAAGTGTTTGGAAATGTTCAAAACAAAGAATTTCAACAAGGACTGCTAGAGTATAAGGCAGTTCTAGAATGATGTTTAGTAACATTTCTCCTGTAAATGGATGTGAGGGTGTAATCCATCCTTGCTGACTTCATTAATGCTACCAAAAGCATAAAACACTATTGTAATGGACTGGCTATGGTGCCTCAGTTTAACAGGGTGAACAGTTTTACTGACTCATTGATGAAATCGTGTCATTATCTGCCTTGGCTCTAAAGAATATTTAATGATTATCTAGGGAGATTTTCAAACAGTAGTTGAAATGATCTTGAGGTAAAAAAGAAATGTGTAAGTTCTGACAGAATCTCTGTCTTTGGAAAAGAAAAAACGGTAGACTATAGAGAATGTAAAGGAAGTCAGGAGAAAGGGATGACTTAGATATCTGCTGTACTATATCCCTCCCTTTATAGAATGAAAACTAACAACTAGGCCGGTGTTGCAGGTACAAGGTAATTTAAGGTGGATGTTTTTATTATGAGTTTTGATTATATAGGGTGGTAGAGAAAGAAATGCTTGAGGTAGCAGTGGGAGAGAAGAAGTAACATTCTGAATGTTAGCTTGGATAAGACCTATTAAAATGACAAATCTGTGCACCTCCTATAAGAAAATCCCAAAATGTTTTATAAATAATAATGAACCAAATCCTTGCAAGGTAACTGATGACACCATAATATCAGTGGATAACCTCTCTGTGCCTCAATTTGAGTCAGTTGTGCAGATCACTCAGCGAGTCAGCCACAAAGTCAGGAACATAACCTGAAGTTGAATTTCAGGCTTTACTGAGCCTGATGCCAAAATCTGCTTTTACAGTCATGATCTCATATTCAGTATCGTAACTCCCTGCATTGCCTAGACATCAGTCTCAAAAGTAGTAAAACTGAATGAGTCAACAAGCAGGCTAACGTAAGTTAGCTAGATGTGCAGTTCATAATTATGTCCTCCTTTGTCTATCTTTGATAACAGCAGCAGCCCTTAAACCAGTATTTCACAACATAACTTTGTATCTTTTAAATTACCAGGAGTTAGCAAGCTACCAAGAGGTACATTATATTTGGAAATCCACTGTGAATCCAAGCAAAGGTCAACAAAGTCCATTTTGTGGGGTTTCTTCTTTTGTTTTGTTTGATATATTCAGGTTTAAGGAATTCACAAAACAAGAATGTCAAACCAAGATAATAATCTGATGCCTTTACAATTTCTGAACATTTCATTTGAATTCATTTTGCAGTTAAACATTTTCAAAATAACTCACGTATTCCTCTTGAACTCTTTAAAATAATTCAAGATAACCTTTGCTTCAAAAGATACATTATCTAGACACTGACTTAGATTGAGACCAAGATTATTGGTTTTTCTTTCTGGAAGCTTGTAAAAGAGAAAAATGACTACTTGCCTCCTAAGGTTGTTTAGCAACATGACGTTCACATACATATAATACAAATAATAGCTATACGGGGGATTCTTCTCACTGGTCCAAAGGTCAGGGTTAAGGCTCTTGTCAGAGAACATATGGCCACTATGTTTGGATTCATCATCAACGCTGTCAAACCCAGTCACCTGGTGGGAGAAGAGATTCACAGAAATCAGTGTTTTCTAGAAGCAAACTTCAACATTACTTTTGCTTCAGGACTTGCTTGTACAAAGCATCTAGTCCTCTTCCTTCGTTTCCCTCTTTACGCTAGCAGTCCTGCTGCTCTGCCCTCCTACCATACCATGCAGACAGCAGGAATAATGTGTTTTCTTGAAGGAAGTTTCACCCATTTTTTTAATTCTGAGACATATATGAGGCCCAGGTGCACAAAAGCCTTCAGACTCCTGTGGGGGACACAGGCCTGTAAGACTCCCTCAGATCCAGATTATAATCCTTTAAACTCATCTGCTTTGTTATTTGAAAAGCAGCTGAAGGCCAGAAGCTCCCAGGAAACCTCAGAGTTCTGATTTGGGACACACTCAGAAATGTCTCTTAATCACATCCCAGCAAGCTACATCCCCACCTCTCTCCTGAGTCCCATCAGGATCTACATAATGCTTCCTTTCAGTTGCCTCCTTTTTGGAAGCCACTCCCAGAGGTAAACTCAAAATACACATCCTGGATTACAATGTTCCCCCTGCACAGGAGTGTGCAAATGTTTTTTGGTGATTCTTTATAGAGAGGATTACTGAGAGGACAAATAAATAGCTGTTGAGCTGTTTCAGAGGAAATAAACAGCAGCTATTTGACAACAAGACCTTACTCAGGCTTTTATTAAATTTTATGTCAGGGCTTTAAAACAATAATACAAGTAATCTATGGAGGAGGAAGCTTTTTTAGTGTCTGGAAACAGCTGTGGAGAAACAAAATTTAAGAGTAGGAGAGGATCTATTTCATGTGAGACAGAAAATCCAAACATACTTACGTATTTAAGGAAAAGGTGCAATTCTTTGTGGTCTTTGGGATTGATTGTTGCTTCAAACAAAGGTACAAAGATGTTCTCCAACATCTTCCCAAAGCTAGGCAGAATATTTTTTGACCTAAATATGTCACTGAAGGGGAAAAAATATACACAGTTTTGATCATTCTTTAATCAGCTTATATTTTCCCTCCACTTTCATATTTTCTGTTATTTGTGTATATTCTACCGCTTCAGTTCTACCAGGATTCAGAAATTCAAAGTTTATGTCAGGGCAGGGATTGTTTCTGTGCTCTGTTTCCTGCACTGCCTGGCACTCTGCTTCATCCAGGCTCTGCTAAAGCTCCCAAGTGCTCCAAAAATAGAGACAGCATGCAGGGGTAGATGCCGTCTCAAGTACAGTGACCCTTTCCTTTATAGCAATCCAAATACTAATATGTGAGATAAGGAATTACCTCTCATGAAAGGTTGTTTTCCAAAGTTGTTAACTACTCCAAATCAAAGTAGAATGTTCTGTTTTAGTGAGCCTCTCAGAAAAGAGGGACAGTACTTCAGTGTATCATTAAGTGCATGACTTAATGAAAGTGTTGACTCCACTATGTACATAAGAAAGGAAATTAGAGAAACTTTCTCCCTAATGAGAAACACACTCTGGGGGATATATGCGACCATGACAGCTCCTTCTCTATTCATATTCCAACTATGCAATATCAAAACATGAAGCTCAGCTATTAAGGCTGACAAAATTATCATGGGAGACTGTATTACAATATACAGTATTAGAAACAAAGAACCATTTAATAAAAGTCCCAAAGGATGCTTAAAAACTAAGAAAAACTGGTATTGATTTAAGCTTGCAAATCAGCAATCGGGGTTGCATTTCCAAGTTCACTGTCATTTGTCACTGATCTTGAGGAGGTTTGATGGCAACAGTTTTACAGAGCATTTTCTACTCCTTTATGAGTTGATTTATTTTCATTACTAAATTGCATTTTAACTTGCCTTTGAATGCAGTTTAATTTCACCCAGTTGTAATTTTTGGTTTCAGTATCTTCAGACTTACAAATAATTCACAGTAGGTTTGAATAGCTTCATAAAGAGTAGATTCAAACCCCATCTCCTCTCTTCCACCCCCAGACTGTCAGGAAAACCACAGCAATGGTCAAGAATAAATTTCCCAGGCTGTTGCATATAAACAGAACTACAGGACAGCTCATAAACCATCTACAAAATATCAGAAATTAAAACAAATCATTGGTATGATTTCAAACTATTAAAATTACCAAGAGCTCCTGAATACTTACTAGATTCTGGGAACCTGAATTATCCAGCGCATATTAGGGGAATAAACTTTATGCTTAATGAACCATTTTGCCAAGTTCAGCCATTCATCTGGAGACCGTCCATAAATGGATAAGCGGGGTTCTGTATACTGGTACTTACTTTCTTCTAGTTCCCGGGCTACTTCCTAGTAAGTAATAAATATATTTGCTTTAATATGAACACTGAAGATCATTTACAGCTAGTAGTGTAATTTATCGTTGTATTTTCCTCAGACCAGAAATAACTGTATTATCACCCTTTAAAGATAAAGGTAATCTCTAGGCATCTAAATATTCTACTAGCAAGCTACCTCAGATACCAGTTGAGTATAACTAACTGTAACACCTAGATTTAGAGGACAATATTCTTGTGCAGTTATTCCTAACACCTTTGTAAGACATATGGTTAAAATTGGTAAATCAGAATTATACTATTTAAACTGTAGTAAATGACTACATAAAATCTGCAGACCAATGGAGACTCTGACCCAGAATCCATGGTAGTAGCAATTTAAAGGCTATTAATTTTAGACAAGCACTTCTGTACATTTTAGAAGAGCTGACATGCTGTTGATGAAAACTACTAATTCTTTTGTTGTAAGAAATGAATTTGAAGCCTGTGCATGCATGTGCAGATAGAGATTTATGCAGAGGTGCTTCCTGAGCTCCTCCTTCCCAGCAGCTACCACTAGCCAACTACATCCTAACAAAATATTAAGCCAGTGAATTGATCCTTGGCTGCTCTCCATTAGTTTGAAACTGCACACAACTCTGCTTTGAACTCATACACAAGTTACGTGTATGAATTTCTAATTCATAAAATTATTTAGCAAGCAGCAGTGGCTGACTTAGCAGAGGTCTTTCTCCGATGACTTGCTAGAGCAAGCCCAATACTTGGAATCACTTAACCATAGTGTTAGCTCTAGATACAATTATGACATCACAAATCTTTTACAAACCTTCATTTCTCTACAGCTGGAAAAGTTTGAAACTTATTTACCTTGACCATACGAGCAAAATATTCACCACCAATGTAGTTCTCAGTTTTCAAATACAAGTCCCTCAGCTCACTGGCACCAACTGGATTGTACTTGGAATTGAATTTGTCAAATCGATGAAATGTTTGACGACCCTGGAGGAGGAAAAAACCCAAATAACCACGGTTTTAAGTACATACAATAGTTTATAAATTAAATTGCCTAGCAATAAAAGGCACAGAAAGAAAAAGCCTATGCTAACTTACTTCAAACATGAAAAGTAATGCATGAGTTCAAATCCTGATTTAATAAGTTATCATGCAAAAACTGTAGAAACCAGAATTTCACACTTAGAAAACTTAGCTTTCTCTCATTTATTTTGCCATTTTAATAGACTTACTGCGTGGACATCTAAAGAATCTACAGTGAGATCATAAGGGTCCATGTGAAGGCTTTCAAAGACTTGCTTTAAAGTCATCTTCTTGCCTTTTTTCTCTGCAACAATCCTGTCGGGCTCCGTTTGATATGTGTGTTTAATAAACCTCAATAAGTGTTTCTGGTTCATGCAAGCAGCAGCATGGATATGAGTATCAACCTGTAATCAAAAGGTTATTCATGCTCATCATCCATATACATAAACTTAAATTAGCAAAGTACCTATGTCAGTGACAACAATGACTAAAGCCTTCTACAATATTCCTCAAGTAACAAATGGATTACTGCCTAAGCAAGTCAAAATGTTTCAGAACCCTGAGATTTTGGGTTTGGAGGAATTATTCAATAAGCAGAACTATAAATAAAATAGCCCTCAATTAATACTTTCCTATTTAAATAAGAAAATTTTTGACAAGTTAAGATACATTAAAAGTGCCAATCACAGAACCTCAGTTCAGATTAAATTTGATACTGCCTTAAAGGACACTCTGATCCTGTAGTATCCTTTTATTTCATCCATAAACTGATGATGTCTTCCTAGTTATAGACTGTAGTTATAACAATCCTCTCTGACTGAAAGGACCTGGAATTCTCAGCCATTTTCAAAAGTACAATTAATTTTTTTATTTCAGCCAAATGAAACACCTTGGGTCACTAGAACTGCAAAATGAACATATGAGAGATTTTGTCACCTTTTTTTCCCAAGTTTAATAATAATACAGCTACTCATAATGCTGACAGATTTTTCACTTTCTTCAGATCTCTTCACACACTAAGGGAAGTGCAAGCTTCACAGAAGGGCTGAGTGTACTCCTTCAGTTTGTTGTTGAAGTCCCATTTTTAAAAAAAATTTACAAGAACCAAATGGTTTCCACGGGTATACTTTTCTTTTACTCAGAAGCTTGCACTGCTATTTGAGCAGCCTATATTAGAACACAAATAACTGATGAGATTTGGGGGTTGGTTTGTTGATTTAAGTTTTACTTCCAGTATGTTTGCAGTTTCTAAGGACCAAGTACTTTAAAGGGAAGAATAGGCCTTAGCTGGAATAATGGCCTTAAGGAATCTAACAGCACAGCAATATCCAGTGTGTGGAGCAGCAGAGCTGCTGCTCCAGGGTCCATTTGCTTTGAATTTCCTTGAGAAATTCTGACTGAACAAGAAAACAGCCTAACGCATGTCCTAGGCAAAACAATGAAATTACTCTACCAACAAATTCCTATCAATTTAAAACCAAAACAAACCACTGTTCTGATTAGATTTCACAGTTGACACATAATGAGCACAATGGCCCTGGGGACAGTTTGACAGACTCTGAAACTGCCTTCAAGTCCAGACTGCCAAATCCTAGCAGAAGCAGTTTCAGCTCACCCAGAAGCCACAGTGCTGCAGCCTGCCTGCTAAGCTTCCCATTTTCCTCTGGCCCAGGCCCTACCTGGACATAGACGGCTGTGAGCACAGGCATGTGTGGTCAGAAGCAATCGCCAACTTGTTCACTATTTCTAACATGTGCCTTGTGCACCAACTGCCTGGTACTGGAGACAAGTCTTACAAGACCAACCGGCAGAATGGTTCTGCAGAAGGAGTAGGAAGCCAGACAGTCAGTTTGTAACACAAGTTTCAAGATGATAATGTAACAGGGACATGATTATTCAGATAATAAGTCTAAAAAGCACCACACAGTACTGTCCCATATATTGGTAGGAGCTGGTTCGGAATTCTTATAAGTAACACTTTACCATGAAGTCTTATGTGAAACTGTAGTGGAAAAGGCTGCTCCAACTCCTCATATGGAGTAAGAAAGGAGCTTCAAAGCAGAAATAAAAAATAATCTTGCTTCTGCACAATACTGGTAATGCAGCTGTCAGAACGCACCCAGTTTTGCTGTCTACATTTAAAGGTTTAAAAAAAACAAATACTGACAACATTCCCAAGAAACGTCACAAAAGGAAATAGGAGCTGGAGAACCCACCCTGCCATGTAATTGTAAAAATGAAACTTATTTGGCTTTCAAGGTGCAATTTGAGAGTTAACGTGATCAACTGTAAACAGGTATTTGTACATCCAGAAGAGACAACAAGGGGACACTTCAGTCTCACAAGCAATAATGGAACAAGATCTGAAGGCTGGATGCTGACATTGGATACAAGTTGAACCCACTGCACTATGCTTTTTAAAATGGAAATAACTAGCATTCCCAGGGACACACTCCCAACAAGAGCTGCATAGCCTGTATGCAAGAGTTCACACTAGAAGGAATTCTCAGATAAACCAGCTAGCTACAAGGAGTCACTGAACCTACTTCTCTGCAAGGACTCTCATCCAGGACTCTTCTGTCCAGGAAACTGCAAACATGGACACGTATGTGAGACCAGCCTGTTCCCCTTTGTGTAGTGACTATGTCTGCAGTTTCAGATTCCACCAACAGACATCCTGATCTGCTTTTAAGGATCCGTAGGAAACAGATCATGGAGCACCTGAATAAGTAACAGCCATACTCCTGCAATGTAAACCTCAGCTTATGCTATGACATACAGTCCACAGAAATGCCAGTTTTACTTGGCACATGCAGTCACTTAGTTTGCAGTTTATGCATACAGAAGTTGTCGCTTTCTAAGGGTAAATCCATCTCCATGTGACTGTTAATAGCATAACTGAAGACCAGGATATAAACTGAATCCTAAACATTAACATTTAATTGTTAATCACTGCCTAGTTCAAATATGCTGGACACTTTAAATGAAAAAGCAAGAAACATATTACTCTCTCGAAGTACACAACATGAAGTATACAATGTGAAGTACACTACTAATGCACAGTAAACAAAGCTGTGTCTAAAATAGTAAAAACAGCTCCACTTGACATATTATTACACTCCTCAGAGTACCTGTATAGCCATTTAAACCCAAGTGCATTATATATATGCTTACTCAGGATAATAAACATCTTCTGTTTTAGAAACAAATATTGTTTACTATAAACTCCTCCTGGACCAGTGAAATACTCCAAACTGCGAGGCTTGGTCAACTTACATGGGAGAATGAAATAACAGTTAATAGATGCCCTATAAGCATTAAACATTCAGGAAAAACAAGTCACAAGATTAGAATACCAGGTGTAGGGAACCTGAATAAGTGTAGTTTATTGAATTTCAGAATGCACTAGTTCCAGTGGTGGCTCAGTTACTGGAATTAATGAGTCTTGAAAAAAACCAAACTAAAACAAAACAATTCCTCTTTCTTTAAATCAACATGAATTCACTACTGTTAAGAGGGTAAGGACAGAAAGCAAGGCCACATTTTGTTTGGTTTGCTTGTATGCAAGGATCACATGAATGACACAGTAGTAACTGCATTTCTTTTAAAGTCCTGCTTCCCTTTGAGAAATAATTCTCTCAAGTGTGCCTCTGCAATTCAGTAAGCTCCTGTGAAATCTTCTCTGGTCCCCACAAGCATATCACACATAGCTCTATAGCTGAGCTAATCACATCAGGCTTATTCTCTAAGAACCAAGATTTTCCCCTCCTCCCTCTCCCTAAATATATTTATTCCCAAGAGTAAAAAGACTTTCCTAGAGTCTCCTTCATGGTTTTTCCAGAGAATGTGCAGTACTTTGGCTACCTTTTTTAACTACCTGGTGTATTCTGACCTTTGGGTAAGCAGCAACTTCAGTAACAACAAAAGTCTTACAGAGTATCACATGGCTTTTTCTTCATTTTTTTTTTAGAAGCAATGCAACTTTTTGGAAGGTTTTAATGATTTGAGCTTTGACCTACCCTAGCACATAATTAGTGTGTATGCTTTTATGCACTTTCACAATTCAGTGTGCAATCCTATCTAAACGAAGCATCTAAACACAGAATCCTTAGACATACCTTATAGGGATTTTATTATAATAATAATAATAAAAAATGTTATCATGCTGAGAAATTGTTACTAATTTCATTGTTAATTATGAAAGGCATCTATGAAAAGAATTTGAACAGACTGCATTTATATAAGGGTGACAAATGCCACCTTTGCCTCCTCCCTCCCCCCAAAAAAGACAAAACCAGTCCCATTTTAAGATGTTATTACTTTGTTCTTCATACTATACATGAAGTAAGCTGAGGCTTTTCAGGGCCATGAGTAATAAGCCCCTACCACAAGGTCTATTTGCTTCTATTTGCAAACATTCTACTTGCGTTTCCAAATCTGTTACGATGCCACTCCAGCCCAATTTCCCGTTAGTGGAAAAAACCCTCAGTGGCATGCCCTTAGCCAAATTTCTTGTTGCAGTTCTTATTTTCCCCTCGCCCCAGGAGGACACCTTTTACTCAAGGTCACATTAATCTTCAATGAAAAGAAGAAACACAATGAGTGACAGAAGCCTAGCTTGGAACACATAATATGCCTTCAGTGAACTCACCTTTTTAACAAATGAAAACAATTGTTAACACAAAGGTTTCCTTAATTCTTTTAATTCCATCATGTCATTCAAGCAACGGTGGACATCAATTTCCTTGCAATTAAAGGGTGGTAGAGTTCCCTTCACTCAGCAGTTCTCCATGTAATGAAGCCAGCCTGTCTTCCACTGCACCTTCTCAGTTCAGGCTAGCCCTTGCCTGTCGTTATTGATCTGACCACCCAAGCCATTCTGTCCGCAGGCTTTGTGGATTAAATGCTTGTACTTCTCAGTCAAGATAGTTACATCTATGTACAACTTGCAGCTTGAAGGAGTTCCCATTGCCCTCCAAATCACGTCTCACCAGCATCAACTTCCCTAAACCACTCTTGCCTTCCTTGTCTTCCTGCATTGCTTCTCCTTCCTTCCACTGTCTCTCAAATCTCCACAAAACACCCAGCGCAGATCTATTTTATGGATGCTTAGCTGTGCATATCAGAAATAGTGTTGCACTGAATTAGGCATATGCTCTAGATTCAGAGCAGTAAGTGATAAATAGAGCAAAAACAAATGCCAAGGGAAGCCCTTTAAATGATACTGAACTTTTCCAGTGCATAGATTAGTATCTGCAGTTGACAACTACCTGATTTTCCAAACACATGCACTTTAACTCATAAATACTTCTACGCCGATAGCTATGGGTTTCATGAACTTGACAGTGAATCCTCTGCAGCCTTTAATTCAATGCTGGATTGAAGGGAAGTCATTTCACATCCCACTGCTAGATTCCCTGCTCACCAATATATTTATATTGCATTAGCTTTTCAGATAGGATGCAACAGCTTTATACAATGAGCTTGATTCTTTCCTTGCAGCTTTGTAATCAGCATGAGAGGCAGAAGACACAAAATACTCTGCCCTAGCAGTAACGCTCCTGACAGCCAAAATAGTCCCTAGAGCTGGGCAGAGCCCCTCAGGAGCTTGTCTAATTCATACTTACACCATCCAGAGCAACCCAAAACCCAGGAGACAGGAGATGCAAATCTCTGTGTCTCCAGCTTCTTCTTTGGCTGTACTCATTGCAAAATGCAAAGAATCAAGCCCTATAATGTTTGTATTCACACGAATACAGAAATAACACTGCTGTGAAGAGAAACAAATTTCTTTTTTTGGTCTTTTTATTACTAAAAGGACAGAGGAAAAGCTTTCTTTATGGTCTCTACAGATTTTTTGCATTATAATGATTGATGGCTTTCTGCCTCAACATTTTGTGCTTACTTGCAAGACTGAGGGCAGACACAAGAATTTACCTCAGCATCTCTGCAAGACAGGAGGGGAGAAGTAGTATGCGCACTGCTTTGGAAGCACAAAATACAGCTTTACTGTCAGTTAACAGTGGTAAGGCACCATTACATGTAATGCTAACAGAGGTACAGAGGCATTCCTGTTCTTTTAATCTTAGGCTAACCCATAAGCCTTCCCATTTGCTATCACTTTTGGTTTATATGATGAAACTGAATTTCATCACCAAAGTCAGTACGTAGCTACTGGGGAAAAAAAA